CATAAATACCATGAAATAAAACATACTATTAATGCGATTTTGAACTTTATTGTAACAGCACTACGTTTTCCAACTTTGTGAGGTACACGTTATATTCTCACTTATTAAAGACATTAAAGACACCGATTTAACTTCACCTGGTTAACTAGTTCACTAGTAACTAGCCCGTTCCAAGACCGGATAAAGAGGGAAGGTTGGGCATAGAGCTAGCAACCCTACCCCATAAAACCAATCTAACCGCTAAAGAAACTTCAAAGCGCAAAAAAAATATATAAAGGAAAATAAACTTATTCCTCCCTGGATTCGAAGAGGCGAAGTGACGCCAGTTGATGAAAGTCTTTGGGAAACCAGTCGGCTTCTCTCGATGAAAACGAAAGTAAGAATGGGGACATGGAATGTCCGCACAATGTTTGAACCTAGCAAGGCTGCCCAGATTGCCGAAGAGATGAGAAGGTATAGCATAAAAGTGCCAGGAATCAGGGAAAGCAGATGGAATGGAAGTGGACTCTCCTAACTGTCAACTGGAGAGTCAATAATCTAATCTACTCCGATATTGTCACCCAGACGACAACCACGAGCACACTGAGTTATGGAGTGCTTCTTCTCTTCTGGTTTTGTTGTCTTGCATCCCTGTCGAAAACAACTGTTAATTGGTTGCTTTGAAAGCTTACAAGAAAGCATGATCCTAGTTCTAAACTTAAAACAATTAACTCATGCAACAATGTAAAACTTGGACACTATGGTAGAGTATACTTCCACATTAAAAGTTTAGCAGCAGTTGAACTATCGCACAGAGAACTGCTGCTGGGAACGTCGTAATATTCAAAATACTTGGTTGAGATATAAATGTTTGATATGTTGGACTAAGCCCCTATTTCCGAATCCCTCATTATGCTAGTAACGGCTGTTTCCTAAAAACTAACGTATATATTTCCATTATGAGATTTAAACCTTATTTTCGCGCTCTCTTCGCAATATGCAATAATATTTATTTTTACTGCGATTTTAGATACTAAAGGCTGATTGGTCCATTTAACACCTTGAATATGCTATTTTGTTTTCCCTAGTCAAGGTTCTTAAAAAAGTTTATAAACGACTGAACTTTTAGCTATAATCGAACTATTTCGATGGAAGTAAATATACCTTTAATCCTATTGTTTTCTCCTGGTGTCAGATGAGTAACGCATTCAGGAGTCATTTTTCTATCTTTAAACGTATTGCATCCGAGTATCGTATCGTTTACACATAAATACCATGAAATAAAACATACTATTAATGCGATTTTGAACTTTATTGTAACAGCACTACGTTTTCCAACTTTGTGAGGTACACGTTATATTCTCACTTATTAAAGACATTAAAGACACCGATTTAACTTCACCTGGTTAACTAGTTCACTAGTAACTAGCCCGTTCCAAGACCGGATAAAGAGGGAAGGTTGGGCATAGAGCTAGCAACCCTACCCCATAAAACCAATCTAACCGCTAAAGAAACTTCAAAGCGCAAAAAAAATATATAAAGGAAAATAAACTTATTCCTCCCTGGATTCGAAGAGGCGAAGTGACGCCAGTTGATGAAAGTCTTTGGGAAACCAGTCGGCTTCTCTCGATGAAAACGAAAGTAAGAATGGGGACATGGAATGTCCGCACAATGTTTGAACCTAGCAAGGCTGCCCAGATTGCCGAAGAGATGAGAAGGTATAGCATAAAAGTGCCAGGAATCAGGGAAAGCAGATGGAATGGAAGTGGACTCTCCTAACTGTCAACTGGAGAGTCAATAATCTAATCTACTCCGATATTGTCACCCAGACGACAACCACGAGCACACTGAGTTATGGAGTGGCTATCATGATGTCCCCGACCGCATCGAAGGCTCTCATGCAGTGGGTATCAATCTCCTCGTGCAGGGTCACATCATGACAGCAAGATTAAACTCAAAAGGAAGAAAAGTCACAATCATACAATCCTACGCTACACACCTAAAAATAATGCAGATTAAGAGAAGAAGGAGGAATTCTACAGACAACTGCAATCAGTAATCGTCAAGACCCCACCCCAGTTGGCAACATCAGAATTCTAATGGTTGGGATGATATGAATGCCAAAGTGGGAGCAGACAATACAGGAAGAGAACTCATCATGGGTCGAGAAGCACTTGGTGAAAGTAACGAGAATGGATAACTGTTTGTAGATTTCTGAGCATTTAATGATTTGGTGATTGGAGGCAGTGTGTACAAACACAAGGACATTCACTAGATGGACACACTAAAAATCAGATCGACTTCATCTCAATGTTAAGAAAGTGGTGCCGCAATCAGCCTACTGGACACAAGATCAAGAAGGGGAGCAGATGTAGGTTCACACCATCAGACTATCTAGTACAAGGAACCTTCAAAATCAAGTTGAAAGACGAAACTACAAAGAACATCTTCACGTCAGTCATCAAGACAAAATGAGAGATATTGAGCAACATCCCTTGAGAGACCTGCGTGGATGAACACTGGAACTCTTTGAAAGAGATGTAGAAAGAAACCTGGATAAGGATATTAGGAAGGAAGAAGAAAGAAGATAAGGAATGGATCTCGACAGACACATAGAAGCTGATAGAGGAGGGAGAGAAAGATGGTGAAACAGAAGATGAACCAGTGCAGTGTAGTGCAGGGACAAACAACGAAAAGAGGAACTGAGTACAACCTATAAAACACTACACTGGAAAAAGAAGTGAAGAAGAGTGCACGGAAGAACAAAAGACACTTCTACGACACACTGGCAAATGAAGTAAAACAGGCTGCAGGTAGGACAACATTATACCAAATAACCAGGTTACTATCTGGGAAGAGATCAACGCAGATGAAACCGGTGAAAGATATTGAAGGAAACCTAGTTGGCGAAGAGGAGAGACGATGGACTGACCACTTCAAAAAGCTCTTGAATCGACCACTACAACCACCTGCAACTCGTCCAGAAATACCACCAGCAGCGCAGCCACAGATTTATCAGCGAACACAAACCGTCCGACAAAAGCAGTAATGAAGTCCTGAGCGCCATAAAGTTGCTGAAATCCGGGAAGCAGCAGGACCAGATGGAATTCCTCCAGAAGCACTGAAAACAGACGCAGCGACAACAGCAGACACAATCACACCACTATTGTAGAAGGTTCGGGAGGAAGGAAAGTTACCTACTGGTTGATTGGAAGAAAGGCTACCTTGTCAAACTCCCAAAGAAGGGAGACCTCAGTCTTTGCAAGAACTGGCGGGGAATCACGCTGCTGTCCACCCCAAGCAAAAAAAATATTATGCTGCATCATCCTGGAGAGACTAAAAGATGAGCTGGATTCAAAATTACTACCGAAACAGGCTGGCTGGCTTCAGGAAGAACAAATCATGTGCGGATCAAATTGCAACGCAACGCTGCGCATCATCACAGAACAGTTAACTCTACCTCAACTTCATCGATTTTGAGAAGGCCTTCAACAGCGTCGACCGAGAAGTAATTTGGAAACTGCTTCAACACTACGGTTTCAATACCACAAACCTTTATCAACCTCATTCAACGGCTATATGCTAAATGATGCTACATGCTGAGTGATTGACAATGGAAAGCTCAGTGGTGCTTTTGAAGTGAAGACAGGGGACAGGAGTAAGACAAGGCTGTCTACTATCACCGACGATCTGTCTGATTGTGGTGGACTGGATCATACAGAAAACCGTGAGGAGCTGTGAGAAGATGGGGATACACTGTCTGACCAGTGAAAAGACCATCAACGGGAGAAATCTAAAGGAAGTAATCTCTTTCACCTACCTAGGCAAGGCAGCATCATTTCAACTACAGGCGGCACAGATGACGTCGAAGCCAGGTTCTGAAAGACAGCAGGACAGGCGTTCATTGATCTGAAACCGGTGTGGAGATCTACTTCACTCAGCATAAAGCGTGAACAACAACCGGATTTTCAACATCAATATCAAGTCAGTGCTTCTATATGGTTCAGAGACTTGCTGCGTTACGATAAGCATTCCCAACAAACTACAGACATTCATCAACGGCTGCCGCCTACGCTCACTCGATACTGAAGATGGCGATCAGATGATCAGGAAGAGTAAGCAACAAGGAACTCTGGCTAACTGGCAACGAACCAACCAAGAACCCAACGCCCAACAAATATGCAGAAGAAAGTGAAGATGGATTGAGCATACACTGAGAGGGCCGATTGGGGACATCAGGCTAGGCCGAGTGGTCGAGTTTAATTGAGAGGGGAAACGACGAGTTGGGTGTCCGAGGCGAGGGTGACATGGAGGAGATCATATGAGGAAGAAATGAAAGCTTGTGGGCGGTCATGGAGCCAGGTTGAAAAGACTGGAGAGAAGAGAGTGAATTGTCGACATGCTACTGAGGCAGTATGTTCCTCTAGAAACCCAAGGGGTAAATAATACTTAACTGATTTATTTGATGAAATTTATGAGTTGCGGGATGCATTGAATGTATAAGGGCTTATGATGCCTGCCTGTCGTTTACAGCGAAGTAACTATATTTGAGTCTGAACAATGGACTCGTTAACTGATAATGGAGTTTGAAGAAATGAGTCACAGCTTTGGATTAAGTGATAATATCTAGATTTGAGTAAGGTAAGTAGGATTTTATTCCAAACACTGGTGGATAAAGGGGGTGTGCTCAGACAGCTTCAAATTCTTAGGGATGTGTAGAATCTGCCGTAAAGAAATACTTCGTTGGCTTCTCTCACTCCATAAATTAAACTGAATGGCTACTGTTACATAATTTCCTCGATTTTTCTTACCAACACACATTATCTTCATATGTTGTTGAGATATACAAAGTTGGAGAATCAAACAGTGTGTGAATTGATAATCTATAAGCAGTAAAGTGCGGGAAAACAGAAACCAACTCAATCAGTACCCTGGTTGCTGTGCAACCTGTTACCTAGATAAGACAGGATCTAAGCAAGCATATAATATCATTCAAAAAAATTTTTAACTATCCAACAAACCTGAATTCATGGATTTCCCCATTTGATTATTACCATACCCACTGTTCTGTTTACGCCTAAGATAACCACTACAACTGTTGCTGCTACCAGCGCCACAACCATTATTATTGTTAACCGCTCCATACGAGGTTTCACTATTAGCTATGACAGTTGAATCATTTGCCCTACGATTGACACTGAACTCAACCACTGAAGTGGTAACACCATGACTTGAAATAGAACTGGATATAGTAGTTCTTGATGGGATTATATCACTAGAAGAAGTATTATGAGTGTTGTTATTATTGACATCACCAAAAGTGAATTTACTGGTAGTATTTGTCGTTGACATGGTTGTGGCTGTTACTGCTTCGGTACAATATGATTTTCCATTATCAGCATTCGAGTTTAACAGACGCTCGCGAAACTGTTCCCATTCTAAAAGGAAAGAAAATTAGTGCTATTTTATGACATAATTATTCGTAAAGAGATTTTTGCATTAGACTATGAGATACATATGTTGTGCAAGTGTAGATATGGCTTACTGGCTTACGAGTTGAAATTTCAAGCAATGAGTTCCAGGTTCCAAGCACATCTCGAATTCTCAAGCCTAAGGGAACAGGCTAGCATCGAATAGAGATGCATTCAACAACTACGTGCACCTTTGTGCAACAGGCAATGAGCCAAACACCTATTGTGCAAGGGTCAATAATACCACCTGGTTCCCCGCACCTCAGTAGGTGGAAAAGGGTTCGAACAACCGACCCATTGATTGAAAGTAAACTGCCGAAATCAGTGAGCCACACCTCCGTACTGGGTAAAATAATAAATCTTCAGTCAATAAGTGTGGCTCACATCCCAGTAGATACACCTATACAATGTTGATTTTCACTGCAAATATATTGTGATTACGAAAGCTGAAAGTAGGTACAGAAGGAAATGTAGACCTTGAACCTTTTTGTTTGAGAAATGAATGTTCACAGTATAATACAATTCAGCAATCTGGTATAGACTTACGCACTAGACTGAGGGGTCTATGATACTACTGCTAGGTTGCTGAGATAAAAGTTGGAGGGAAGGAATGAACCCTAAACACGCTGTTTAAGAGTTGAATACCTAGGCTAAGGAGACATGTACCCACCGTAAAACATGTATTACATAACTGAAAAAAGTTATTATGATTGACAGGCAAAGCTTAAATGAATACAACACATCGCGAAACAGTACAGCTGTATGTTGTAAATACAATCTGAATGTGATCTAAAGCTAATCAGGGTGCTAGAATTGAATAAAGCAACAGTCATTTGTTTATTGCTTGTGAATAAAAGTGGCATAACACAGTTACCAGCTAACCAGTAGAATGAACTAAGACACAGCAGTAGTAATTACAAATGAGGAAACAATCATGTAAAAAACATCAAGGAGTGTTATTATTTCAGTTGTTGTTCTGGCTTTTCATGCAGAAGATTTAGGAAAAGGATAAACACTGACTTTCATTTTATTCACCTTCAATAATACCTGGAACTACCAATTCCTATACACTTTCAGGGTTAACCCATCGAGTTGGTTAGAGTGAATAGTTATTAACCTGACACAAATGTTTTTCACTTATTAACGTCAGTGTCAACTAGTCCGAATGTTAATAAACAATGCTGAATGAAACCAGCTGAAACAAAATAAGCAGGATGAGTTTAAGCAGTCAGTAAGCGCTGAGTGACATAGCCAACTGAACAGTGGTACCTAGTGTTACCAAACATGGACAGGTTGAATATACTGGTACTTGCATAATGCAACTAATAGATACAACCTTTACCACGAAGACAGTGATGATCAGAAACATAGTAGGTGAACATTCTTAACCCATAGTATCTGTATTTCAAGTGTCTAACAGATTTGTGCGCATCGAAGCAATGTAGACATAACCTTGTTCTACTTGTGTCCGGCTGATATACACATCTCTAGCTTCTGACACATGTGGACTGATTTTGTCACAAACAACAACAGAACTTATACAAATATAACCTGACAAATGAACTTTTCAACTGCTTGCAATAATTTCCACTAACCATGACCAAGTACTTTACATGTATACTTTTCAACGAAGATACTGAAGTTACAGACACCGACCAACAACTGATTTAACTCATGCTTTCATGCAGTAAGACGATATTGTCTACATCCTTAGCCAATCCAGTCAATATCAAAATATAACTCAGCATTACTTAGAAATTGTTTCAAGAATGTTATTTATGAGAAAGTTGAAGGGAAGTAAGGCTTTGAGTGGATAATACCTAACAAGCTGCCACTGTCTCCTACCTAGCAAGTAATTTTAGAACATAACTGCGTCACTACTTTTTGAGTGAGGTGCAAGGAACCATACAATACACTGCCTTGGAAGATTAGCAGACATAGTTGAAAATGAGAGTCTGGCAAAGCTAGGGTAACATCAACCTTAAGCTGTCAAATATGAAGAAATGAATCCTACCTTAGCATAATCTTTACTATCAAAATTATATTTTATGTCTGTCACATTTATTGCATCATTTTGCTGTTTCGACTTCTAATTCTCAACATCACTGTTATTTGACTTTGTGCAGTCTATATCTAGGCGACCCATTGAACTAGGATTTTTATGTTTTAAATAAATCAATTACCATAACTGTACAATATTTACAGGATAAACAGCACTTACGACTAATCATAAAATCTTGCAAATTTTTACTCATCCCTGGCTTCATTTTACTGCAGTGTGATACATGTTTCATATTCTGCTGGGAAGATGGTGCGTTGTGATGATGATAGTGGGAAGTAAACTGAGATGAAGAATACTGATGATTTGAACCGTTCCCATGAGATGAATTACCGCCGCCACTGCCTCCTCCTCCACTACCACCACCTCCATTCGTGAAAGAATTGGTAATACTAGTAGGAACACCATGAGAGGTATAATTTTCTCTATGTGCAACATGATGATAATGATGAGAATTTTGAGAAAAATGGGCACCAGACATGTAATGATGTGGACGATGCGAAATCGACTCTTTGCAGGGACATTCGGAACACGTATTACTTCGTGAACTACGACTAGTCATAGGACTAGATATTGTGGTTGATTGACTGGTAACAATAACTGATGTAGACAAATTTGTCATACAAGTTGAAGGGATTGTAACAACATTAATCAAACTACTGGTTGTGTTACAGTGACCAGCATTATCATGATTTGATTTGATAAAAGTAGGAGGCACCTCGGATAATCCCCCAGTAGACCTGATCAGCCTACACAAAAATGACAAGGAAGTACAAGAAACTAAGCAAACGTACTTAGATATTATCATTAGCAAATTTAGCTTTATCCAAGCCGCTTTTTTAATGGATATCATATACAGCAAATCTTCCGGAATAAGAACTTATTTTCCTGAAATTTTAATTTGGGAGTTCAAGGAGATAAAGAATGAGTGCAACTAAATCATTGTCGTCAGTTTTGAATCAATTCACCTAAAACATTCAACCGCCAGCTCCCCCTGTCTTACAGACGTTGACAAAGAAGACTTCAATTCCTATGCATGAATAAGAAAAACAATGAGTACCATTCGTTGGTTCAATTCACTTTCGAATTCCTAATACCAACCAAAATTGCGTGTCAGTGCAGGAAGTGGTTAGGCATGTAAAACACTTTAGTCAAGTCAGTTAAAGGACTTTCAGAATCCGGCATATCTACCCTCACCTCCTCTACAGTTCTACACCCATTTTGAAGATGGGTTAAGTGATAATAAAAATATACATGAGTAGTGATTTGTAGACAACCATGATTGAATACCTTCAGTCTATTCGTTTACATTCAACTACGCTGTCTTGCAGCCATACAGGTCAGAAGCATTCAGGTGTTTCTCTGTTTCCATAAGTAGTATTATTCAGAAAATTAAGATTGAGGCCTTTTGTCTTCACCACAGTTCTGGTGTATTGGCTTACGCATTCGGTTTCGAACCAGTAAGCCAAAGGCTTGACCCTCGTCACACTGACCACCACGAAGTAGCATTGTCAAACTCCATATAACAGGTGAGTTTTATAATTCAGTACGTGCCACTGTAAATGGTCGCTGAGTTATACCATTGTGTTACTGATACTTACATATTACAATCTTTGGATCGCCACTGATATTTTGTTAATCTCCAGTTCACCAAGTTTGATTGTACTTCGTAACCGAGCAAAGTAGTCAACATGGTCAATTACATCACCTGGTATTGTCCAGTTAGGCATCGGTGTAAACCAACTCTAGGGCATTACATTAAATTCGGTAATTACAAGACGCATACTAAACACTTTTAGATTTCCCCTAAAAGTGTTCGACAGGACTTGCATCCTATTATATTTCCTGCACATTACAAGTCACACAAAAGAACTTTAAGTTAAAGATGCACTACTTAAAAGTCAAAAGCACTAAGAATCACCTAAAAATAAGTAGTCTATGGCAAAGCTGAATAATAATGGATGGAGTGAGTGCCCGTAATGAAAATTATGCTCAATGTCAACTCAGATGACAACTGTTTTCACTTACGTGGTTGCACAAGTTTCTGTATGTATTCTGGTGGCATGATATACTTGTTCGTTTCTATTTCACAAGTTGGCATTTTAAGAAACGACTTACCTAACAGAATTCAGTATAGCCCTTAGTTCATGCAGTATGGTGAAGAACAAGGCTCAAGTTATTAGCTTTTCCCTACACATGACACAGACAGACAAGATCAACATAAAACCATGCATTACTTCATAGTAGTCGAAGTTGCCACACCTCATATCACAACACCAAGTGAAAAACCACTAGGATGAAAGATAAAGAAATAGGGAAAGAAGCAGTCAAAAGTGGAAGAAGTTGTGATAAGATAACAAGGAGGAATAAGAAAATATTGGATTCTGTATGACAATAAGGATGAGGATAATGCGTCCATACATATGTGCCAATGAGATCGACTCTGAGTCAGATTAACTAGTCTCCGACCACTGGTTTCTGTTGTCGCGCGGACCCCAACCGGCTAGTCTACATTTCCCTACACAGCTCAGATTAACAGCCGAAGACTTCATGCACTGATCTTATCTTTTAGTCTGGGAGACCCTGACCTTTATCCAACCTAAACCTACTTCATCTAACATTGTGCAACAAGGCAGACGGTAACAAGGCATGGGTAACACATATCTCAGCCATCTCAGTCGATGAAGGTTCATAAACTTATCAGCTGACTCTCTTCTTCACCCCAAACCTCTATGTATGACTCCATAACTAAAAACGCCGTGACACACAGCTACAAAGGCAATAGTGATCGAACACTTCAAGTCTTATAACGTTCTCTACGTTTAATGGTCATGTTTCCCAACCACATAGTAAAACAGAGAGAACTGAACCGTAGTACACTCGAACCTTGATGGATAATTGGATATCACGGCTGCGTAAGTTGGAGAGCCAATAGAACCTTTTGTATCGGTGCAGAAATTTTGTCCGTCACTGACCCTCTAGGGCTCATCCAGCTACCTACGCAAGTGAAATGGTCAACGTGCGCAACCACTTCTCTTCCTACTGTTAGACAGAGCACTACTGAAGACCAGTCCCGGACCAACAATTTACACTTAGGCAGCAAGGAACGCCTCGAATTGTCACTCAATATATCCTGAAAACTCGGCATCTTGTCAGGGTTTCCACTCAACACGATGATTTTGCCTACGGATTCTCTATCGACCAAGGGTTCTCTGTAATAAGAGTTACCCCTATGAAGTCGGATGACAAGAGGGAGACATCCATAAGAACCTCCATGATAAAGCTGAATAAGAATAGAGAAAGCGGAATCCCTGACGAACACCGCCCATCTGACAACCAACCATAAGCTTTAACATGCCCACTAATGTGAGTACAGAGCCTTCTACAGAGTGATGTACTTATTCGGCACTCGTTTCAGTGAGAGATACTGCCATAATACCTCTCGATAGACGGGATTGAATGCCACCACCTTGACGACGAGGAATACAGCTAGTGTCGGGTGGCGGTAGGTATGCCTATGTTCCAAAACCTGGCGGAAGGTAAGTATCTGGTATCTGGGAAGTAGGATCAACTCCGGTGGGTTAGTTGCCGATGAGATTTCTGCACGGATACAAAAGGCTCGATTGGCTTTTGCCAATTTACGCCACCTATGGCGCCGCCGTGATATTCGTTTGTCTATTAAGGGTCGCGTGTACTGCACAGCAGTCCGCTCTGTTCTACTGTATGGCTGTGAAACATGGCCATTGAAAGTGGAAGACATGAGAAGGTTACAGGTATTTGACCACCGTTGCCTTCGTAGTATAGGACGTATTCCGTGGTGTCACCATGTGAGTAATGCAGAAGTTAGGTGTAGAGTTTTAGGGAGAAGAGGTAAGTCAGTCGACGAGGTTGTGAACCTTCATCGACTGAGATGGTTGGGACACGTACTACGTATGCCCAGTCACCGATTGCCTCGTCACACAATGTTAGCTGAGGTGGGTTCAGGCTGGAAAAAGGCCCGAGGTGGCCAGACTAAAACATGGCACCAATGTATGAAGTCTCTGACTGTTGGTTTAAGCCATGTAGGACGATGCAGACTAGGTGGTTGGGGTCCACGGGACAAGAGGAACCAGTGGTTGGAGACCCTAGGTGATATGGCTCAGAACCGAAGTCAGTGGCGCAGATGTATACACACATTATCCTCATCTTAACAACGCTATACCGAATCTCACTATTTTGTCACTCCTCTTTCCTTTCTTCTCATACTTTATATTACTTTTGACTGCATTCACTTATCTTCATCCTTCACCTCACTACCTTTTTACTTGATGTGCTGATATGAGGTGTGGCAACTCGGACCGTTACGCAGTAATGCCTGGTCCTATGTTGATAATGATGATGATGATGATTTGGTCAGGTCTGAAGCCTGCCAAGTTTTGTTGTGTTTGATGTTCACGAGCTCAAACGTCTAATGACCATAGGACCTGGGATCTCAAACACTATGTTCGTTAAACTGATTCCTCCGTGGGTACCACAAGAGGAGTTCTCGCCTTACTTGAAGACTGGGACAATGAAGGGTTGAGACTAGTCAAAGGGGACAGTAACTGACTCTCACACAGTTGTTAACACTTCAGTTGACATGACTTAAAATATCCTGACTTCTGTAAGTGTTTGGGAACCTATTTCGATGTTTCACTGAGGATCTCAATGGATAGCAAGAGGTCGAAGAGTAGTTGCAGGCCAGTTGGACTGTTCGTCAAAGTGTTCAGCCGCATTCAACCAGTTATCTCTGTTACGTACGAATCGCAGACCCGTTTTTCTCCGTTACAGTCTCACCAGCCTTTTTACACCAGTTTCCTTGATAAATCTAAATAACTGTCTACCGTTACATATCGCCGCTGCCGTTCCAACTCTTCAGCCTTCGCTGCCCACCACTGCTTGCAATCATGGTGTAGACTTTTACCGGTTTATATTAGAGTTGCCTTCAATCCTCATTGTGCTGGGAGCCCGCACGGATGCATTTGCGTGCAACTACCAATTCAAAAGAAGCTGCTGAGACTCAATGGCCGTTTTTAAAAAAAACTCAGGGTCGGTTAAAGTTCTCAACGCTGTTTTTACAGCAGAATGAAGATGGTACCAAACTTCTTTCTGATGACCGACTTTGTTCTGCTCCGATGACTGTTTAATCAGTTTCTCGCTAAATGCATTGTCGAGCTGCACTTGCAGTGTTGCTATATTTTTCCACATTCATCTAAGCGCAAACACATACCTGCTCGAACCCATGCGTGGCCACTGTCTCCCAGAAAGAGCGGCAATTCCTCACCGATCCTCTCCAAAGATAACTGACAGCAAAACAGCTTAGGTATGTCCCCGTTGAGATGAAGTTGGTGGACGCCACGTCAGACAATATCTGTTTTTATGTCTGAAGTTTGTACTGGTCAGAAATAAATGGGTATCAGAGCACAGTACCAGAAGACGATTGCCGTTACCCGTTCTTCCGACTTGGATTCCGAAAGTGTCACTGAAATGCCTTTCTGTGTGATTTAGCCTACTGATTTGTGCATTGAAATGACAACTAACAAGGATCACGTCTGAAAGTCCGGCTTTGAGTAGGAGCCTAGACAGATTTTTGTAGAACTCATCCTTCATTTCTTCCGAGCTGCAGTCAGTGTGTGAGTAAGCAGACTTCAAACAGATAATGATGAGGTTCATTAGTTCTTTTTGTCGTCACTGTGCCATTCAGTCGAACAGGGCGTAGGCCAATGTCAACTGGAATTCAGTCGAATAGAGAACTTTCTCCCTTAGTGATCAATGCTATACCTACACCTGCAAGATCGTAAGAAATGGCCATCGAATCTTCAGAAACTCCGAGGGTGAATTTCGCGGCTTACCCATAATGGTCGCGTGAGGTTGAGTGAACAACCACACTTCGGTTGTATATGCGCATCTGATAAACCGAGCACCCACCCACCACTCGAGATGACTCAGTTTGAGCTAATGAAGCTTGTTCGTCAATTTGATTGGGGGTCCAGATATCGAAGGCTTCAGTGTGTAGTTTGAAGCGCATTTTCAGGAGACCGAGAATGCTGTTCAGTGAACATGAATCGTTATCAATAGCTGCAATACTAGAAAGAATTAAATATGATTTAGATATATTGAACAAGAGACGAGAGGATTAGAAGGTAGAAATGTTGTACGTTGATTATAATATTACCAAACTTGAATTCTGAAAGAACTGTGTAGATTGATACTTTCACGACGGTCACACCACAGAAAGCTAGTTCTTTCCAAGGTACCTGAAAAAGGGTTAGTAAGCAACCACAGAGGCACATCTGCTAAAAGCCGGTCAAGTACAGAGGTTTCAGAAGTCCCAGGTGTTTCTTCTAATGCAAACTAACTCCAAAACAAAATCGCTCACACCAGCACGCACGAAAGTAAGATACGCGTGGGCTACCCGAAAAAGTGACAATATCTAACTTCCCCTACCATAGGAAAGGAAGCGCCAGGATAACATTACTAGAGAAACAAGGCAGACATCATACTGCTGGCACGCAGCCGCCCAGAAAGCAAAAAGAAATCGACATCCCATCCACCGATGAGCAGAGGGAAAAATACCAAATCCGTAGCTCCTTTCTATCAGAAAAATACAAGACAAATATACCAGATATAGACAAAAAATAACAACCACGCACAAAAGTGCATCCGTTGAACCTGCCACAATTGACAGTAGCATACAAAGAACAAGTGGATAGAAAAAGATTGATATCGAAGTAGACTAAATTGTATGGGAGGAGGAGGGATTTAAAAATGAAAAGCAGTCAAGACAATCAACCTTTAGAAGACACCAAAGGGTGAACAAATCTTTACCATTGTGACTGATTTCCATTCATTTCACCGAGAGCTCTCAACCACTGATTCCCCAGCCAGATAGTTCACACCTCCCTACACGGACAAGACCAAGAGCTAGAGACTTCATGCACTGGTGGCATGTCTTGATCTGACCATCCTGACCACTCTTCCAACCTAATCCAACTTCTCATAGGATTACATGTCGGGGTAGGCAGTGGCTCTGCATGTGCAACACATACCCAAGCCACTTCAGTCATTGAAATGTCATAACCTCATCGACTAAGTTGTCCTCCTTGCCTAGTACCCTTCGCCCGACCTCAACCAAATGTGAGGAATGCTACGACGACACTTATAGTCAAAAACCTGTAACCTGTTCACATATTCTCTTTTCAGTAGCCACGCCTCAAAACCGTATTATGGGACGGGGTGAAATGCGGCATAGTTTACTCGTCATTTGATAGGTAATCGGGTATCTTGCCAGTCGGCGTCAGAGATGATGCAAGTTGACAAATGCCAAACGGGCATTTTGTATTCGAACTGAGATTTCATCAGCAACCAACCCATTCGGCGGATGCAACTCCCCAAGTAAGTGAATTGGTTGACACATCCCACCACTTCGCTCCCTATCATTAAACTGGGAGTACTTGCATCAGACCAGTCCTGGAGTATCACCTTACATTTGATGGGTGTGGAACGCAAGCCAAACATACTCAGATTTCTGCTCAACGCATCCAGAAGACCTTGCATTTTGTCAGCGTCTTCATTTAGTAGGACAACATCGTCTGCATACTCAAAGTCAGCCAGATAACCTCCAGCGGGCAGGTCAATCCCTGTGAAGTCAGACGTACCTACGGTTATACCCATTAGTACGTCTATAACAAGGTTAAATAAGAATAGTGATAATGGGAACGTTTGGAGGACACCATTAGTTGTCGTCACTTCGTATAACAACTCCCCTTACACGGCTGCGTTAGTCCAAGGAGATAGGTTGTATTATAATTACTTACTTATTCAGTACTCTTTTTCAAAAGTTCAACACTGTCTCATCACTTGTCGATCGACGGAACCGAATGCTTCCTTCGGCTTCAGATCAAGAAATTTGACAAGTTTTGGTCGCCGGTAAGTTTCTTGTCTTCCAGAATTTGCTGAAGGGTGGTTATCCATCCGATGCACTTTAGTCCAACTTTGAAATCTCCCTGTTTTTCCCAATCACCCCGCGGTCGATAGCTTCTACTGTCAGGTGGTGGTCGGGCTTGCATATCACAATGATCTAACGAATTATGCTGATGGAGCACTTGTTCGTTGGAGGTCCTATCATGCCAGAAAGGTCCGTTAAAAAGTGGTAGTAGGAAAATTAGTTACTGTTACCGTTGTAATGTAAATTACTACACTATGCTTGTTTTCCGAGGGCGAAGTCGTAATGCTGCTACCTGGATGGGGTGTGGCAGCAATAAAATGTTTCTTTTGGATCACCAGCAGTTCCACGTTGATTCTTCCTTCCCAACAGGATGTGGGGAAGTTAGAAAAGGTTGGCTTCAAAAGTAACACATTCCACTATGCCCCATGGTCTTCCGGTGCCCGCGGTACGAGATTTTTCTTTCTGGTCTTAAAACAACTCAGCTTTAAAACAAAATCCCACAAAAGGTTGTGTATGACAGGCCTCAAACAGATGTCCCATGGGCCCAGTGGTCACACAAATCTTTCTCTCTTTTAGTGATCTTAAGAAGAAATAGCCTTCCACGGTGTGGCCAAACGGAAAGTGTCAACCGCCCGCACAATTCCAGTAGTACACAAGATCCAATCAAACGTAACCTATCTCCATCAACTCTATCTTTTTCGCCTTCCCCTCATGATACTTATATTAGGCGTCTTACACTTCGCTTAGCCTCACTCTGCAACCATTGCCAACGACCAAAGCCATCGATATCATGCAGGAGCTTTCAACTTCTGGACTTCATGCCAAATCAAACAGCAAGCATCGTTCGACAAAACTCTGGAGTCTCTAGCGACAGACGTATGCTATACCTATGAGACACGTATACAGGACCTGATTGTGGTCATTATATTTACCTCACCTGGTCATGGTAGAGAATCTTCGAAATTCACCTTAAGGGTGTTTAGAGATTCAGTGGTTAGCTCTCATGGACTCGCTGGTGTAGGCATAGCATTGAGTTGCAGAGCAGAAAGTGCGCTTCTCGATTGGATACCAGTCAACAGCCATCTATGTGATATCCGACTGAATGGATCTGTAAGGACTAAGAAGGATCGTGAGACCAACAGATGCCTATATGTAACCTCCATCTATGCACTTACCTGAAATACATTTGGTCCACGGTAATAATTTTTTCTAACTGTTATTTTCTACCCCTTTCCCCTCACTCTCTGTGTCACTTGTTGTCCAATTAAAATAGACGATGAAATATCCCATCTTATTGGTTGCACTAAATTGAAAAGTACTTTAAAAGGGAGCAAACTAAGGACGAGTTGCTTCGTTTTCATGGTGAGCGACGATACCGTCTAAAGTGTTGTAACCGAAAACGAATCAATCTTTGTGGAGCCCATACACCAACATAGGTCGAGCAATTCAGCCCTGTATAACAACAGGAAATTACAATTATCATAACAACAATTACACTAAATACATTTTGAAACAGGCTCCCCTGATATATTACACAACATTGTCACTACAGAATTAAATTCTCCAGAAATTTTAAATTCATTTTGGATTCAGTCTTAATTTCTTTAAACAGAATTTATCTGACAAGTAATGATTTTATAAGCCATTCTAAATAGAGATAGCTTATCTAAGCTCAACTAATCAGATTCCTACGAATAAGTGTCCTAGTCCAATAGGAAAGTACTTTGGCCACACATACATATTGACTTTTAACAAAGGAATCAGCCAATCATTTTTCAAATTTCTTTCTTACACCCTAAATAAATTAGGGGGGAGAAGTGTACCGTGTAGTAAACGTCAACCTTCCGCTTTCTGAAGCAAAATTGACAGCTTCATTGTATAGGATGTATTTTTACCTGTGTAAAGTAAACACAAGTAAAAATACATCCTATACAATGAATCATACTAACTCGGTGCCCAAGTTTTTTCAAACCATCCAGTCCATTGTCGGTCAGGATACCTTCAAAATTGACAGCTCTTCACAGAATTCATTCTTTGAATAATCCGAACTCCAGTGGGTAAGTGGGTTGCTCCAGAAAGCGGAACGTTCAGGTGTAATCATGATGGCAGGTAACTTTGAACGCTCAAGTAGGAAAGCTGAGCCAGTCGGAAAGGTAGGCATCTTGGGGATGCTTACAGAATCCCATGACAACGGTGGTCGTCTGTTGCAATTTTGTTCCCACAGTCACTTGTTTCTCGACAGCATTAACTTCAGGCATAAAGACGCTGCCTCACCTCAACTTCAAACCAACGATGGAGACAGATAGATCACATTGCTACAAGCCATCGTTCGAGAGGATCGGTGGAGGATTGCCCCTCTTTCTAGAGTGTCAGTTTGGACTCCGACCACCCGTTTGTATGTACACGTGTATATCTGCGCCTTACTGGTCGCAGGATACAGACGATGGTAAAGCCTGTCAATGCTTCATTGGAAGAAGAGGACGCCAAATACGTACTGAGGAAGGAGGTAGCTAAGCATTTATCTGAACACGACAGCAATGCTTAATGTGAAGAAACCTGGATTGATATTCAGTCTGCTGGAGAAACAGTGATAGGGACAGTTGGTAACCTACACATGAAGCTTAGTGAATGGCATCCGAATTGATTGATGTGAGAAGACTAGTTTTAGCTGGCTCTGACCATGATGAAGAGAAAAAAACAAGTGCAAGTTAGTCAAGAGTTTTCGCAATGACCACGAGCAGTGATGGGCGGGAAAGTGGGAGATGGAGAAGGCATCAGCGCTGGGTAACACTCGGTAACTTTTCAGGCCTATTAGGAATAGCGGCAAGAAGATATTGAGTGCAACGATCACCGAAAAAAATGCGACGCTGGTTACTTCTCAGGACAGGCGGATAGGACGTTGGGCAGAACACTGAAGCACAGTTCATCTGGCTGCCAGCACCTCTTGAGTTGCCCAACAACCAGTCGGAATCTAGTTGAGACGTCAAGCTGTCAGTCCTCTAAATCTCCCTGAAGTTGGGAAAGATGTATCAAATCTGAAACAATGCAAAGCATCAGGACCTGGCAGTTTGCCGCCGAAACTTTCGAGGATGGAGGTAGGAAATTGCTAATTAAAGTGATGGAGGTACTAGTTGGTGTGAATAGGAAGTAGTGCTCTCAGACTGGTCTACTTCCCTGATCATTTGTGAGTAAGAAGTGGGAGGAATCGTTTGATAACCACATGGAATTAGTTTGACTAATATCGTGTCCAAGATCCTAGGCTGTGATGAAAGTAGAAAACCGATGAGTCGAGTAACGAAGTTAGTAAGTAGCGATTAGTAGTCAGAGGTAGTGCTGGATTATTTCACTGATCTGTAAGAAAAGATAGTCTTCCTGTGGCGACCATGGGAGAATCCGTTTGATGACTAACATCGCGTCCGAGATCATGGGATCCATAGTTATCCAATGCCTAACTGGAGCTAGAGGACAGCAAACTCGAAAAACCTAGACATATTTCAAAGCTGGGTTACAATGCATTGGATGGATAACCGCCCTTCAGCAAATTCTGGAAGACAAGAAACTTACCGGCGACCAAAACTTGTCAAATTTCTTGATCTGAAGCCGAAGGAAGCATTCGGTTCCGTCGATCGACAAGTGATGAGACAGTGTTGAACTTTTGAAAAAGAGTACTGAATAAGTAAGTAATTATAATACAACCTATCTCCTTGGACTAACGCAGCCGTGTAAGGGGAGTTGTTATACGAAGTGACGACAACTAATGGTGTCCTCCAAACGTTCCCATTATCACTATTCTTATTTAACCTTGTTATAGACGTACTAATGGGTATAACCGTAGGTACGTCTGACTTCACAGGGATTGACCTGCCCGCTGGAGGTTATCTGGCTGACTTTGAGTATGCAGACGATGTTGTCCTACTAAATGAAGACGCTGACAAAATGCAAGGTCTTCTGGATGCGTTGAGCAGAAATCTGAGTATGTTTGGCTTGCGTTCCACACCCATCAAATGTAAGGTGATACTCCAGGACTGGTCTGATGCAAGTACTCCCAGTTTAATGATAGGGAGCGAAGTGGTGGGATGTGTCAACCAATTCACTTACTTGGGGAGTTGCATCCGCCGAATGGGTTGGTTGCTGATGAAATCTCAGTTCGAATACAAAATGCCCGTTTGGCATTTGTCAACTTGCATCATCTCTGACGCCGACTGGCAAGATACCCGATTACCTATCAAATGACGAGTAAACTATGCCGCATTTCACCCGTCCCATAATACGGTTTTGAGGCGTGGCTACTGAAAAGAGAATATGTGAACAGGTTACAGGTTTTTGACTATAAGTGTCGTCGTAGCATTCCTCACATTTGGTTGAGGTCGGGCGAAGGGTACTAGGCAAGGAGACAACTTAGTCGATGAGGTTATGACATTTCAATGACTGAAGTGGCTTGGGTATGTGTTGCACATGCAGAGCCACTGCCTACCCCGACATGTAATCCTATGAGAAGTTGGATTAGGTTGGAAGAGTGGTCAGGATGGTCAGATCAAGACATGCCACCAGTGCATGAAGTCTCTAGCTCTTGGTCTTGTCCGTGTAGGGAGGTGTGAACTATCTGGCTGGGGAATCAGTGGTTGAGAGCTCTCGGTGAAATGAATGGAAATCAGTCACAATGGTAAAGATTTGTTCACCCTTTGGTGTCTTCTAAAGGTTGATTGTCTTGACTGCTTTTCATTTTTAAATCCCTCCTCCTCCCATACAATTTAGTCTACTTCGATATCAATCTTTTTCTATCCACTTGTTCTTTGTATGCTACTGTCAATTGTGGCAGCTTATGGATTGTTAGTTTTTTTGTTAAACGGGTTATCAGAGGTTGAAAGCAGTGCTACAGAAAAAGCGAGAATCTTTCATGGGTCCTCTCCAGCGATGGCTTGTGGAAATATGATCTATCAGTATCCAAGTTTATTTTATGTCGTCATAGGTCATGGGAGACCGTCTCTCGTTATGTTCGAAGGTTGTTTCGGCCAGAAATAAATGATTTGAAGAAAGAAACTGCAACAGATGACCATCGTTGTCGTTTGATTCTGTAGATAGATCCAAGATGCCTTTTTGTCAAGTCCAACTTTCCTACTTAATAGTTGAATTCGCCTGTTATTATGAGCATGTCTGAACGTCTTGCTTTTTCTTGTAAGACCTAGGAGTAACAAGCGTTCCACCAGCATAACTGAATGGGTTATTGTGATTCGCAAGCCCAACTGCCATAAGGTAGCAGCTATTGGTAGCGTACTTCACATGAAATGTCACATTTTTCAATTTCATTAATCATTGAAATTTCATGTTTGCCGATCAATAGAAAATCAATATGATATCGTAAATAATAAGCAGCTAAAGTGGGTATAATTACCTTGGGTGGTAATCACGATTATGCTTCGATTGGTCTGTCATAAGGGAAAATATCTAGAATCGGTAATAAAATAATATAAAAAGATCATATTATCACAATTTATCGAAAACTTCAGTGATAGCAGTTATTATATACAAGAGCTAGTTGCCACATGGTATTCAAAATAATGTACTGAGCTTCATTGAATGAACTGTGGATAATAGGCCAATTAGCGGCACTGCAGGGCAGTTTGTTGGATGTTACTTCTGTGTGTTTGTCTAAACCCACTGACAGAAAGCTATCTCACAGAACTACACAACTGGGAAACGGCCTTCAAATTTGGTTAGAGCTGCGAAGACTAAGTAACCTAAAACGCAGAACAGTGGCCCATATCTGTTGATAAGACCGATTAAAGTAGCAAGCGGCTTAAATGAGTTAGATATAACACCCTCAGTGGTTTTGATCGCTGACTATCTACGTTCTTAGAGAAACTCGACCAACTAGTGTAAGAGATTCTAAGTCAGTATCAACATGAAACCTGGTTATACTACATAGCAATTCGGTTTGTCACACCTCATCAGTAAATCAAACAAGAATGCACCAAGATGAAAGAAAAACAAGGTAGTCAGAAGTGACAGAATGCCGTAACAATGATGAAATCCAATATAACAATTCAGATGAAGATAAAGTGTGGATGCACTTGCATCACTGAGATCGATTCTGAGCCATATCACCTAGTCTCCAACAATTTCAGTCATCACATGGAAACCAACTGTGAAGTCTACATTCACCAGCATGACTCAGACCAACAGTCAAAACCTTTATGAACTAAAACCACATTTTAATCAAGTCGCCTTGGTTCTCTTTCAAGCTTGAACACACTTCAGCGACAATTACGCAACCGGGCACACGATAGCTAGGCATAAGAAATATGTGTCAACCCCTCTTAGTTGATGAAGATAAACAGACTTACAAACTGATTTGCCACTTTTACCTATAACACTAAACCTGGTCACTGGCCCACTAGGGCTCATCCAACTTCCCAATTCGGTGAAGTTTGTATATGAGTGAAAAGAAGTGCATACCAAACATTCTCAAATTGCTACTCGATATGTCCAGAGAATTATGCATCTTGTCAGCACCTTGATCTAACAGCGCTATGTCGTCTGAGTACTATAGGTTTACTAAAGTCTCTTGAGACAAGGTCGATCTCGGTAGTCAGACGCGAAGAGGAGAATCTACAAAACACACCT